ACCCCTTTCTCAGAGCAACAGTCCATACCACAGTACAGGAAACCCCTTTCTCAGAGCAACAGTCCATACCACAGTACAGGAAACCCCTTTCTCAGAGCAACAGTCCATACCACAGTCCAGGAAACCCCTTTCTCAGAGCAACAGTCCATACCAAAGTACAGGAAACCCCTTTACATTTTACATTTTTAGTCATTTAGCAGACGCTCTTATCCAGAGCGACTTACAGGAGCAATTAGGGTTAAGTGCCTTGCTCAAGGGCACATCGACAGATTTTTCACCTAGTCGGCTCAGGGATTAGAACCAGCGACCTTTCGGTTACTGGCACAACGCTCTTACCTTTCTCAGAGTAACAGTCCATACCACAGTCCAGGAAACCCCTTTCTCAGAGCAACAGTCCATGCCACAGTATAGGAAACCCCTTTCTCAGAGCAACAGTCCATACCACAGTCCAGGAAACCCCTTTCTCAGAGCAACAGTCCATGCCACAGTATAGGAAACCCCTTTCTCAGAGCAACAGTCCATACCACAGTCCAGGAAACCCCTTTCTCAGAGCAACAGTCCATGCCACAGTATAGGAAACCCCTTTCTCAGAGCAACAGTCCATGCCACAGTATAGGAAACCCCTTTCTCAGAGCAACAGTCCATACCACAGTACATGAACCCCTTTCTCAGAGCAACAGTCCATACCACAGTACAGGAAACCCCTTTCTCAGAGCAACAGTCCATACCACAGTACAGGAAACCCCTTTCTCAGAGCAACAGTCCATACCACAGTACAGGAAACCCCTTTCTCAGAGCAACAGTCCATACCACAGTACAGGAAACCCCTTTCTCAGAGCAACAGTCCATACCACAGTACAGGAAACCCCTTTCTCAGAGCAACAGTCCATACCACAGTACAGGAAACCCCTTTCTCAGAGCAACAGTCCATACCACAGTCCAGGAAACCCCTTTCTCAGAGCAACAGTCCATACCACAGTCCAGGAAACCCCTTTCTCAGAGCAACAGTCCATGCCACAGTATAGGAAACCCCTTTCTCAGAGCAACAGTCCATGCCACAGTATAGGAAACCCCTTTCTCAGAGCAACAGTCCATACCACAGTACAGGAACCCCTTTCTCAGAGCAACAGTCCATACCACAGTACAGGAAACCCCTTTCTCAGAGCAACAGTCCATACCACAGTACAGGAAACCCCTTTCTCAGAGCAACAGTCCATACCACAGTACAGGAAACCCCTTTCTCAGAGCAACAGTCCATACCACAGTCCAGGAAACCCCTTTCTCAGAGCAACAGTCCATACCACAGTACAGGAAACCCCTTTCTCAGAGCAACAGTCCATACCACAGTCCAGGAAACCCCTTTCTCAGAGCAACAGTCCATGCCACAGTACAGGAAACCCCTTTCTCAGAGCAACAGTCCATACCACAGTACAGGAAACCCCTTTCTCAGAGCAACAGTCCATACCAGAGTACAGGAAACCCCTTTCTCAGAGCAACAGTCCATACCACAGTCCAGGAAACCCCTTTTTCAGAGCAACAGTCCATACCACAGTACAGGAAATCCCTTTCTCAGAGCAACAGTCCATACCACAGTCCAGGAAACCCCTTTCTCAGAGCAACAGTCCATACCACAGTACAGGAAACCCCTTTCTCAGAGCAACAGTCCATACCACAGTACAGGAACCCCTTTCTCAGAGCAACAGTCCATACCACAGTAGAGGAAACCCCTTTCTCAGAGCAACAGTCCATACCACAGTACAGGAAACCCCTTTCTCAGAGCAACAGTCCATACCACAGTCCAGGAAACCCCTTTCTCAGAGCAACAGTCCATACCAAAGTACAGGAAACCCCTTTACATTTTACATTTTTAGTCATTTAGCAGACGCTCTTATCCAGAGCGACTTACAGGAGCAATTAGGGTTAAGTGCCTTGCTCAAGGGCACATCGAAAGATTTTTCCCCTAGTCGGCTCAGAGATTAGAACCAGCGACCTTTCGGTTACTGGCACAACGCTCTTACCTTTCTCAGAGTAACAGTCCATACCACAGTCCAGGAAACCCCTTTCTCAGAGCAACAGTCCATACCACAGTACAGGAAACCCCTTTCTCAGAGCAACAGTCCATACCACAGTACAGGAAACCCCTTTCTCAGAGCAACAGTCCATACCACAGTACAGGAAACCCCTTTCTCAGAGCAACAGTCCATACCACAGTACAGGAAACCCCTTTCTCAGAGCAACAGTCCATACCACAGTACAGGAAACCCCTTTCTCAGAGCAACAGTCCTTACCACAGTACAGGAAAACCCCTTTCTTAGAGCAACAGTCCATACCACAGTCCAGGAAACCCCTTTCTCAGAGCAACAGTCCATACCACAGTACAGGAACCCCTTTCTCAGAGCAACAGTCCATACCACAGTACAGGAAACCCCTTTCTCAGAGCAACAGTCCATACCAAAGTACAGGAAACCCCTTTCTCAGAGCAATAGTCCATACCACAGTACAGGAAACCCCTTTCTCAGAGCAACAGTCCATACCACAGTACAGGAAACCCCTTTCTCAGAGCAACAGTCCATACCACAGTACAGGAAACCCCTTTCTCAGAGCAACAGTCCATACCACAGTACAGGAAACCCCTTTCTCAGAGCAACAGTCCATACCACAGTACAGGAAACCCCTTTCTCAGAGCAACAGTCCATACCACAGTACAGGAAACCCCTTTCTCAGAGCAACAGTCCATACCACAGTCCAGGAAACCCCTTTCTCAGAGCAACAGTCCATACCACAGTCCAGGAAACCCCTTTCTCAGAGCAACAGTCCATGCCACAGTACAGGAAACCCCTTTCTCAGAGCAACAGTCCATACCACAGTACAGGAAACCCCTTTCTCAGATTAACAGTCCATAACACAGTACAGGAAACCCCTTTCTCAGAGCAACAGTCCATACCACAGTACAGGAAACCCCTTTCTCAGAGCAACAGTCCATACCACAGTACAGGAAACCCCTTTCTTAGAGCAACAGTCCATACCACAGTCCAGGAAACCCCTTTCTCAGAGCAACAGTCCATACCACAGTACAGGAACCCCTTTCTCAGAGCAACAGTCCATACCACAGTACAGGAAACCCCTTTCTCAGAGCAACAGTCCATACCAAAGTACAGGAAACCCCTTTCTCAGAGCAATAGTCCATACCACAGTACAGGAAAACCCTTTCTCAGAGCAACAGTCCATACCACAGTACAGGAAACCCCTTTCTTAGAGCAACAGTCCATACCACAGTCCAGGAAACCCCTTTCTCAGAGCAACAGTCCATACCACAGTACAGGAAACCCCTTTCTCAGCGCAACAGTCCATACCACAGTACAGGAACCCCTTTCTCAGAGCAACAGTCCATACCACAGTCCAGGAAACCCCTTTCTCAGAGCAACAGTCCATACCACAGTCCAGGAAACCCCTTTCTCAGAGCAACAGTCCATACCACAGTACAGGAAACCCCTTTCTTAGAGCAACAGTCCATACCACAGTCCAGGAAACCCCTTTCTCAGAGCAACAGTCCATACCAAAGTACAGGAAACCCCTTTTACATTTTACATTTTTAGTCATTTAGCAGACGCTCTTATCCAGAGCGACTTACAGGAGCAATTAGGGTTAAGTGCCTTGCTCAAGGGCACATCGACTGATTTTTCACCTAGTCGGCTCAGGGATTAGAACCAGCGACCTTTCGGTTACTGGCACAACGGTCTTACCTTTCTCAGAGTAACAGTCCATACCACAGTACACGAAACCCCTTTCTCAGAGCAACAGTCCATACCACAGTACAGGAAACCCCTTTCTCAGAGCAACAGTCCATACCACAGTACAGGAAACCCCTTTCTCAGAGCAACAGTCCATACCACAGTACAGGAAACCCCTTTCTCAGAGCAACAGTCCATACCACAGTACAGGAACCCCTTTCTCAGAGTACCTGTCCATACCACAGTCCAGGAACCCCTTTCTCAGAGCACCTGTCCATACCACAGTCCAGGAACCCCTTTCTCAGAGCAACTGTCCATACCACAGTACATGAACCCCCTTTGTATTCCAGCATTCTAGCCTGATTATTCCAACCTCATGTACTATGCATAAACATAAGGAACTGTCTGAATCCCTTAGGTCTGTGTCATCTGAAGGATAGGGATATATGGAAATATCACAAACAAACCCAACAAAGAGTTCATTGTTCATTGACTAGTAATTAACACGGCGTATACATTCAACCATGTTCCGGTTTTTCTTTCATATTTTACAAGACCCTCAAAGGTTGCACAACACTGAACACCACATCTGTAATCATAAAACCAGAAACCACTGGCCCTTCTCTCGTTCTCACTCTCTCCATCCACCAAGCCCAAACAGTTAAATCCTTTTTTTTTCTCTCAGAGAAAGGGGGATGTGTTGGTAAGGGGAGGAGGGAGAGGGGGGGGGAGGGGGGTGAATCTAAGTGGGTCACGTGGGATCCCCCCCTTCCTCTGCCTCCACACTACAGCGGCTGCTCGTCCTCCTGCTGCAAAACAACGAAGCCCAGCCGAGAGGAGAGGAGCTGGACAGAGAGAGGGAGAGGAAGAGAAAGAGAAAGAGAAAGAGGGAGGAAGAGAAAGAGGGAGGAAGACAGCGAGAGGGAGGAGTGTTTTCTCCTCAAGACTCGTGTTCTACTGCAGCCATTCTCAGAAACCCTGAGTGGAGGGGGTTCTATTTGTACCCTCCCTCCCTCACTGTCTCTCTCCGTCAGACTGCCTAGCAACATGCAGGACTAGCCACAGCACTATCACCACAGCTCTGCTGTCTCTTACTGCTTTCTTTCAGCAGAACAGAAGACATGCACACAGGAGCAGAGAAGAGAAAGCACAAGGCAAGGTGAAGGATTCAGTTTTATTTTCGGACACATTGCAAAAGGGAAGTGGGGAGAGGAAGAGCAACAGAGAGAGAGAGAGACCGTTGGAGAGATAGGTAAAGAGAGGGGGGGGGGGGGCTATAGTGCATAACTGAGACTAAGGATCAAGAAGAGAAAAAGGGAGGAGGGAGAGAGTAGAGAAAGAGCCCTAAACCTAAAGGCTTGGTGACGCAGAGGGAGAGAGGAGATGATGGAGACTGTGGAATGCGCTGTGACAGATGGACGGATGTTACGCCAACAATAATCCATCCAGCCCCGGACGAGGGAGATGTGCGTTGTGTGATTAGGCGGACAGGGTGGAAGAGGACATTACCCCAGATTCCAGAGAAGAGGAGCAGTGATGGCGTGCCGAGTGTGCCGACAGACGGCACCAGCGATCACACAGTCCATCTGCCAGCTGCAGGAGGAGGTATGTACAGTACTACATGTCTCATCAGCTCTGGCACTCAACCTCCCCCCATCAAGTCTCCTCTGTCCATCATCCGCCTGTCTCTGTCCCATCCTCCTCTCTCTCTCTCCCATACATCCATCCATCCTCTTCCCTCAGCATAGCCAGGCTTGCAGCTCTGTTGTTTCCAGACCTCTCAGACCTCTCAAAAACATTACCTGGCTGATCCAATGATTGATGCTGGCACGCCGGGAAGATCTCATTGATCCAATTCAATTAACACTGGCTCTAACCCCATGCATCTTGTCCATCCCACTGGCTGGGAAGTTGGCACACCAGCCCAGATGCTTAGGGAAAGCTAATTGCTGAGGTGGATATTTAAAATGCATTGGGTTTAGCTCTTCATGTGGCGGCCCCCTGGACTATGAAACTTTGATAGGATCTCATTTTTAAAGCATTTCATGAAAGAAGCACACACAACCCAACACAGCAGTTTAACTAATAGGATACACACAACCCAACCCAGAAGTTTAACTAATAAGATACACACAACCCAACCCAGCAGTTTAACTAATAAGATACACACAACCCAACCCAGCAGTTTAACTAATAAGATACACACAACCCAACACAGCAGCTTCACCTGCATAGCATTGCCCAGAATACAATCAAACTCAAATCACGTATTCTCTTTTATTCACACGATTCTTACCAAGCGTCACCCATTCTGAGGGTTTGCTGTATAACTCACAACTACTAATACAGTATCACAAAATGCCTCTGAGTTGCTACGGCTGAATATGATTTGATAAGCAGGCATCCGATATGGCGGTGAGTACATTAGATAAGGGTTTGTGTGCAGGGGGGCTCGGGTGGCCTGGCCTAGATTTGACCAGCGCCTAGGTCATGAAGTGTAGAAACACCCTGTCTATCCAGTAACATTAACCCATTTACAACCCTGTCTATCCAGTAACATTAACCCATTTACAACCCTGTCTATCCTGTAACATTAACCCATTTACAACCCTGTCTATCCTGTAACATTAACCCATTTACAACCCTGTCTATCCAGTAACATTAACCCACTCACAACCCTGTCTATCCAGAGAGAGAGAGAGAGAGAGAGATATCTTCACCAGATCCTCCAGGTCCATTGAGTGGGGAAAGAGAGTGAAGGTGTACATTTACCAGCACTCCGTATAAAAAGAATACCCACTCTGAATGAAGCACTAACCTGCAATTCCCAGGACATGTAAAAAAAAAAAAATTGAATAGCTAAACAGGAAACTGAGAACTCAACTGGCAGAGGACAGAATGGAAAACTACAAAGGAAGTTGAGTAAATTCAATCAGACTCAAATACACCCCACTGGGCACACACTGGTTGAATCAACGTTATTTCCACGTCATTTCAAAGAAATGATGTGGAATAGACATTAAATTGACGTCTGTGCCCAGTGGGACATCTCCAATAGGCTTACAATATTTGAACATTGCTGTAAAGGTTGCTCAGCTCTATACAGATGATGGTAATAACAAGCCGCTATGTTATTTATAGCCATGACAACAGATTAAAATCAAAGCCTTTATATGTGAGAGCGAAGGAGTCTGAGGGTACAGCATGAGATTTCACTAATTACTTTAGACCCGTTCTGGAGCAGCAACACCCACACACACACACACACACACACACACACACACACACACACACACACACACACACACACACACACACACACACACACACACACACACACACACAGGAAGGAAGGAAACCAGAATGAATACCTAAACTGTTAACCTTTGAGTTGTTTCTGTTTTAACCCTGTAACCATGCAAAATTAACCCTATAACCACGCTGAATGAATACATCAAAAATAGATGTTCATCCATAATATGTCGGATTTTGAAAGGAAACTATTAGATCTTGTTGGATTTGACAGCTCCAACACAGTTCCCTCTCAGACACCACCCAAACATCAGCTATGCGGGAGTCGGCTATCGCCAGTTAACTTCTGATCTGATTTAATCTAGGCCTTAACTTGGACACATATTGGAGATTCGTGAGAATGCTTTATCAAAACAAATATGGTTCATGTACCTGCGAATAGTAGGATTTGTGTCTTAAAAACAAATCCCAGTCTAGTTGAATGATCAGCTGGGCGGATTTCAGCAGCATCTGTCTGGTATACAGTCCTATGTTTAGTCAAATAAAACATTACCATCCAGAGACCTTTGTTTTGCCAACATCTTTGTTTTGGCCTCTATAAACAAAAAGCACGCAGCACCGTATTAAATATCAGAAGGCCTTTGACAGAGTGCCAATGACAACTATGAAACAAAGAGCGATCGATACTCTGTCGAGGCTTGCAGTTATCAAATCAAATCAAAGTTTATTGGTCGGGTACACATATTTGCAAGTGTTATAGCAGGTGCAGTGAAATGCTTATGTTACTAGCTCCAACAGTGCAGTAGAATGTCTTACAAATACAATACAAATACACAAATAATCAAAACAATTATCAAGGCAAGAAATCAAGAAATAACAACCCAGAGTAGATCTATTACAGTGAGCATGTGTCAGAATCCAGAATATAAATACCTGGTGTGTGTATAGACAGTATATAGTTTGGAAAGAAAATGGTATGTACAGCAGTAGGTATATTAGGATGAGCTATGAATACAGTATATAGATCAAGGATGGCCAACTCCTCGGGGGCCTGATTGCTGAAATACTTTTGCCCCAGCTCCTGCTAACACACCTGACTGCAATAATCAACTAATCAAGGTCTTCAGTTTACAATGCAATTGATTTATTCAGATGTGTTAGCTATAGGGTTGGGGGGAAAGTGTGACACCAATCAGGCCCTTGAGGTTTGGAGTTGCCCATCCCTGATCTACATACACAGGGAGGAAACAACAGTATAGAAACAGAATATGAGGTGACTCTATATACATGGGGCATTAGTCTCAAGATGCAGGGCAGAGTACTGGACGGGTAGTCGGCTAGTGATGGCTGTTGTAATAACTCACCGTCAACATGTTACACTACAAACTTTTGATACGATGGAAGACTTGTGTACAATGTTAATCTTTGAACTCGGTTTTGACTGTCCAAGAAAATAAAAACTAAATATAGAATATTTTGACATTTAGGCTCTGGTATTTCATTCCATGTCACCATTGAATGGTGTCTAGCATCAAGCTAGGTGTGATTTGAGGCGTGTCAGTCACTAGCTGGATTATTTTCATTTTTGAGATTATTGACAGCAGTGGAATAACTGGGGCCTCAATTAGCACCACTGTAACTAATTGGCTAGCGTGGAAGTGACCATGATGGGAGGCAAGGAAATAAATGAAATGAATGAAGTGCCACGTTCAGCAGAATCACTGTAATACTACTAAAAGGGATGCCTGCCTGGTGCCTGATCCGACGGTGTGAAATTGTCACCTGATTTAGACAACAGTGTAGCCATACCACATACCACATACAACATGTCAACATCACCTCTCCTAGGGATAGAGTGTGTGTGTGTGTGTGTGTGTGTGTGTGTCCCAGTATGTGTGTGCTCTCTGCATTAGACTCCTGATAATTAGATCCATGTATAGGCGACAACAGAAACCTTTGGAGCATTGGATTTGCTCTGATGTAAAGTCTGTTAACCTTTAAAGCAAAGCCAGCCTTGGCCCCCCACTCATTCTGCTGTAATTGCCTGCGCAGGGTATGCACATTCTGCTGAAAAGGTTAGCGTGCTCCCATCCCACCTAGTTGTCGTGATGAATGGGCAAACATTCCAAGAAAATGAAAATTGGGACGAGTGTGGTTGGCATTTTGGTCACGACTTCCGCCGAGGCTGCCCCCCCTCCTGGTCCGGGCAGGCTTCGGTGTTCGTCGTCACCGGAGTACTAGCTACTGCCGATCCCATTCTCATCACTCCACTTGTCATGTCTTGTCAATCACACACACCTGGTGCTCATTCCCCTAATTAGTATGTGTATAAGTGTTCCCTCTGTTCCCCTTGTCTTTGTGAGTGATTGTTTGTTGTGAGAGCGTGTAGCTCGGTTGAGCTACATTTCACTGTGTTATTGCCAAGGTGAATGTTTTCCCTTGTATAGTTTCGTTTTTTGACGCTTGGGGCGTTTGATTTATGTAAACTAAAGACTCCTGAGTGGCGCAGTGGTCTAAGGCAGTGCTAACTGTGCCACTAGAGATCCTGGTTCGAATCCAGGCTCTGTCGCAGCCGGCCGCGACCGGGAGACTCGTGGGCGGCGCACAATTGGCCCAGCGTCGTCCAGGGTAGGGGAGGGAATGGCCGGCAGGGATGTAGCTCAGTTGATAGAGCATGGCGTTTGCAACGCCAGGGTTGTGGGTTCGATTCCCACGGGGGGGCCAGTATAAAAATTAAATAAAAATGTATTCACTAACTGTAAGTCGCTCTGGATAAGAGCGTCTGCTAAATGACTAAAATGTAAACGATTTCAACTCTGGACTTCGGTATTTTACCTCCTGCGTCTGACTCCTTCATTCACACCTCGTCACAGAAACACTCACCTGATCTGATATGGAGTCAGCAGGAGAAGACCGCATGCCTGGAGTTGTGTCAAGGGTCCAGGAGCATTCCTCGATATTGGCCAGGTTGGGGGAAGCGATGGATCGGGTTCTTCAGGTGGTAGAATGCCTGGAGAGGAGAAGATCCGATCTATCGAGACCAGCTGGTCAAACGGATCCAGCCACCTACACCCCAGCCCCTGGCCACCGGCATTTGATGGGATAGCAGCGCGATGTAAAGGATTCCTACTCCAACTGGAGTTGTATTTCTCCAGCATCAGGCCGGTGCCCCGGGAGCGGGAGAAGGTATCCGTCCTCGTTTCCTGCCCTGGAGTGGGCCAACGCGGTGTGGAACGAGGGAGGTTCCGCGTTGGAGAACTACGGGGAGTTTGCTCGCCTCTTTCGGGCCGTTTTTGATCATCCGCCTGAGGGTCGAGAGGCGGTCGAACGACTGGTTCATCTGAGGCAGGGGACGAGGACCACTCAGGACTACGCGGTGGAGTTCCAGACGCTGGCAGCGGGGTCTGGGTGGAACGAGCGGGCCCTGATCAACCATTTCCGGTGCCACCTAAGGGAGGACGTCCGACAGGACTAGACTGCCGGGATGCCATGCTATCGTTCTCCCAACTGGTAGACATGGCCATCTGGCTGGACAATCTGCTAGCAGCCAGAGGACGTCCTGGTAGGGGTCTGCCCGTTCCCACTCCGGACGACTCTGACCCCGAGCAGATGGAGCTGGGGGACGACGCCGGTAGAGAGAGCACAGGAGGACAGTGACAGTGTCACTCTGGTGGCACGAAGGGACAATCCACCTCACGTCGCAGTCAACGTTCTTTTGGGTCTGGAGACGGTAGGCAGGGTACTCACGCATCACCCCAGGTAACGAACACCCAAACGTGTTCAGAGCCCTTTGCGGTGCACTGTACTTTATCTATCTCCTTTCCCGATCACTTGGTAGGTTCCCAGTGTAAGGCGCTAGTCGATTCAGGCGCAGCTGGGAATTTTATGGACAGGGCATTTGCACACCGTCAAGGCATTTCATTGGTCCCCCTAACCATTCCACTCCCCATCAGAGCACTTGATAGTCGACCATTAGGGTCCGGGTTGGTTAAGGAAGTTACGGTACCAGTCACCATGATTACGCAGGAGATGCATGTTGAGCAGATCACCTTTATGATTATTGAGTCTCCTGCTTACCCTGTAGTCTTGGGTATCCCGTGGTTAGCCCTTCACAACCCCAATTTCTCATGGCCGCAGAGGGTTCTTACGGGGTGGTCGCGTGAGTGTCCAGGTAGGTGTCTAGGTGGCTCTGTTTACTCACGTCTTCCGGCACTACGGGGTACCAGAGGATATAGTGTCCGACGGAGGTCCCCAGTTCACGTCTAGAGTCTGGAAGGCGTTCATGGAACGTCTGGGGGTCTCGGTCAGCCTGACCTCTGGTTTTCACCCCGAGAGCAATGGGCAAGTGGAAAGGGTGAATCAAGATGTGGGTAGGTTCCTGCGGACCTATTGTCAGGACCGGCCGGGGGAGTGGTCGGTTTTCCTGCCGTGGGCAGAATATGCTCAGAACTCTCTCCGCCACTCCTCCACTAACCTAACACCCTTCCAATGTGTTTTGGGTTACCAACCGGTCCTGGCACCGTGGCACCAGAGCCAGACCTGGGCTCCCGCGCTGGATGACTGGTTTCGGTGCGCGGAGGAGACTTGGGACGCTGCCCACGTTCGCCTCCAGCGCGCCGTGCGTCGTCAGAAGGCCAACGCTGACCGCCACCGCAGGGAGGCCCCGGTGTTCGTACCGGGGAACGGGTCTGGCTATCGACCCGGAATCCGCCCCTCCGCCTGCCCTGCCGGAAGCTGAGCCCGCGGTTTGTGGGGCCGTTTAAAGTCCTGAGGAGAATAAACGAGGTGACATACAGGTTGTTACTCCCCCCTGATTACCGTATTAACCCCTCGTTTCATGTGTCTCTCCTCAGGCCGGTGGTAGCTGGTCCGCTCCAGGAGTCTGAGGTACGGGAGGTTCCTCCACCTCCTCTGGACATTGAGGGGGCCCCGGCGTACTTGGTCCGTTCCATCCTAGATTCGAGGTGTCGGGTGGAGGGCCTTCAGTATCTCGTGGAGTGGGAGGGGTACGGTCCGGAGGAACGGTGCTGGGTCCCAAGGCGGGACATCCTCGATTCCTCCCTGTTGAGGGATTTCCACCGTTGCCATCCGACTCGCCCTGCTCCGCGTCCTCCTGGCCGTCCCCGAGGCCGGGGTCGACGCACTGCTGGAGCCGCACGTCGGTATTTTACCTCCTGCGCCTGACTCCTTCATTCACACCTCGTCAAATTTTCTCTCTCTCTCTTTCTCGCTGTCTCTCTCTCACAGTTTTTGCGATGTGGCAGAACACAAAGACCGCTAATAAACAAACCAAAAGGAAGTCAGAAAGAAACTGAGCTGTTTGTGTCACAATTAAATGGAGAGAAAGGAGCCTCAGCCTGCCAATATCTGTCAGCACGTGTGTGTGTGTGTGTGTGTGTGTGTGTACGTGTGTACAGAGAGAGAGAGGCAGGCAGGGTGGCCTCTCTCCAGGCAGGCAGAGAGGCAGGCAGGCGAGGTATTGACAAGCTGGAGGTGGAAGGTGAATGGCGGGTGAAGGCTGTTATTGCCGGCGGCTGGCTGGGGCTCCTGCAGCACTACTTGCTGGACCCAGAAGATTCATTTTGACAGATGAGTCTCCTCCCCGGCTGGCGAGGCGCGGAGCGGCGGGGGGCTGATGGCACACGCTCACCAGAGCAGCTCAGAGTAGTGTTAGCCAGCGTCATGTTGTGCAAACCTGCAATTTATACTTCCACCCCTGGCATTAGACCCGGCTGATGATATGCAAAAGGCCCCCCTACCTTCCTACCATCCCATTCAACCTCCATCATCACCAGTCCACAAGCCCTAAGGAGTTTACATACCAGACATATGGATCATTTTACTGCCTTGTTATAGGTAGTGTTTACCTGCTTTTTTTAGGCTACTGAAACAATGGGTACTTGTTAGCCCCACTACCACCTAACTATGCTTTCACCATCCCTCCTCGCCAGTCTAGCTATCTGGAGTTATGCTTTATTTTACAGTCCAGCTGTTGTTTAGCTGGTCATTATTGAGAAATAATGTACCGTAATAACAACGTAGTTGGTTCTTCAAAGAATTCATCATAATAGGGAACTAATTGATGCCGAATGGAACATGGCACTGGTTGTTCAAATGACTCACAAAGAATGAAAACAGCTGGTCATTATTAAGTAACTACTGTTTTACTGCCATTTTTACTATGGGCATGAGACTGTAAAGCAAAACACAACTGATATCAAATTATCAGAAGGTGGCTGCCGGTACACAGCCACATCCTACGCACATGGACATGCACCCAGACGTAAACAGTAATAATAATTAGTCATTTAGCAGAAGCTCTTATCCAGAGTGACTTACAGGAGCAATTAGGATTAAGCGCCTTGCTCAAGGGCACATCAACAGATTTTTCACCTAGTCGGCTCGGGGATTAGAACCAGCGACCTTTCGGTTACTGGCACAACACTCTTAACCACTAAGCTACCTGCTGCCCCAGGAACATGTATACAGCTCCCTATCACACATCTGCAGTACATTAACATTTTAGTCATTTAGCAGACGCTCTTATCCAGAGCGACTTACAGATAGTGAGCGCATACATTTTTATTTATTTTTCATACTGGAATTGAACCCACAACCCTGGCGTTGCAAACACCATGCTCTACCAACTGAGCTACATCCCTGCCGGCCATTCCTTCCCCTACCCTGGACGACTTGTGCGCCGCCCCATGGGTCTCCGGGTCGCAGCCTGCTACGACAGAGCCTGGATTCGAACCTGGATCTCTAGTGGCACAGCTAGCACTGCGATGCAGTGCCTTAGACCACTGCGCCACTCGGGAGTACCATAAATAGTTACACACACACACACACTCACACGTACGCAAACACATTCATATCCGTCTGTCTGCCTTCCCCACTAGCATCTACATCCTATCGCCCATCCAGACCCGGTGTTAATTTTGGCAGCTATTTTAGATTTAGTTTTAGTCTTAAAATACCTTTCAGTCTTAGTCACATTTTAGTCATTTAATCCTTTGTTCGTTTTAGTTATTATCAGTCGACTAAAACGCTGGATAATTTTTGTCTAGTTTTAGTCACAGATATTTTAGTCACATAATAGTGCATTTTGTTATATAAAAAAATGTATGTTTAGACTACCTCTATCTTCCATCATGTGCACATTCAGATAGCCTTGTCCAGCTATGCCTACTATCCCCTCCTATACCTTAACTGGCAGCATTGACATTGTGGCAGATTGTAACCAATGCCAGACATAATTAACCACATAGGCTATAAAGCCTTGGCTACAGGTTAAACAATTTACAGCTCTGATTTTCTCCCCATCATAACCTTCAAGGGGGTAAATAACAGTGGTTTCCTTGAAAAGGAGAGAGTTTGAGCTTTACAAAATAGTATTACTGTACTCCTAATATTCAACAAATAGTATTTGTTTTTCCCATAGGAAAAAAGCAACTGCAACTCGCATTTGTGGACTGCGGCGCAAGAGCTGCAACACAGATGAATGAATAACAGTGCACATGGGAAAATAGAGCTTCTGATGATAACCAAATAAAAAATATCCTCCATGAAAGTAAGAGACAGTAAACATTGTTTCTAGTTGAGGTTAATTAACAGTCAGGAAAAATAGGTCGTTGACAAATATTTTTCGTCATAGTTATTGTTGACGAAATTAACACTGTCCAGACGTAAGAACTCACACTATTCACTCTGTCTTAACTCGCCATCCATTAACAATCTACCCAAGGCAGAATGGTTAGTATGCAGACATATAGGGTAGCACTTCCACAAGCCAGTGGAAATGAGTGTCAGGTTTTGTTGCTGTCAGGAATCTGCAGAAATAAAGGACAACTGAAGCAGCTACCATGGTGAATGCCATAGCATTATACTGTACATTACTCATGCAGTGCAGCAGAGGTGTTTTATATTTGAATAGACAACTCATTCTGAATGACTTTGATCATCCATCACTAAGAATAGAAGAAAAATGCAAAGATACAACACAACATCAAAGCTGAATGATTTTAAATAAGCTTTGCTCCTCCTCATGGGAATATAGTCAGATCTCAACAACTTAAACAATTGACAAATGTGGCTCAATGCCTCACAAGGCTACAGTAGTAGGCATAATTCTGAACATTTGCCAAGCCTGTTTCTCTGTTCTTTCTTCCCAGATAAGAGAGGTGATCCACTGAGGAGGCAACTCCAATCTCTGATCTGAAGGAGCCCAGACCTGGAGCATGGTCCTGGGTGTGTCTGCAGAGTCAGTGAAGAGCCTGCGACCTGCCTCCATGGCCACAGAGTCAGCACCGTCCTAGCTCTGCCACGGGACCCAAGCATCCCCTTGCTAGCTCTGCCAGGAGGCCTTGTACAGTACATCCACTACTAGCTCTGCCAGGAGGTTCACTCCCACTCGTCTGCCAGCTTAGATAACCCTCTGGCTGTTGGCAAACACATGTTTGACGTGATCGAATGTGACCGCAACCGTGCCATCCAGAGCAGCACCAGCAGCAGCCCCCTGTTCCTCCTGCCTGCCGATTCACCATGCAGTGGAGACGTTGGCACTACTGCCCCATCAAGATGACCTGGACCGTGAAGCGCTCGCTCTTCCGGACCCACGTGGCGGGCCTCCTGTCCCTGGCCCTCCTCTTCACCCTCTTCCTTTTCTTCAGCCACCAGGACTGGCTGCCGGGCCGGACCTGGCCCCGGGACAACCCCCTGGCCTACACCGTCAGGGGGTTCCGCACGGCCAAGGCCGAAGCAAACCAGAGCCTGAGCCTCCGGAGCCTGTGGAGGGAGACGGGCTACGTGCCTCCCAAGCCCCATCTCAACATCAGCTCCCAGCAGGGTGAGGGTGGCGGTGGTGGAGGAGCCATAATGGGCGTGACAGGACTGGAGAACTCAATGAGTGCCAACAACAGTTTACAGCAGGAAATGGGCGTAGGAGGGAGGCTCAATGCCCAGCCCTATCGCTACATCCTCAACCAGCCCTTCAAGTGCAGAGACAGAACCCCGTTCCTGGTGCTGCTTATCGCTGCAGAGCCAGGCCAGGCAGATGCCAGGAATGCTATCCGGCAGACGTGGGGCAACGAGAGCGTGGCCATGGGCCTGAGCTTCGTCCGACTATTCCTGCTGGGTTTGGGGCGGAGCTCAGACACATACACCCAGACCGCCATCGAGGAGGAGAGCCGGGTCCACAATGACATCATCCAGCAGGACTACCAAGACACATACTACAACCTCACCATCAAAACCCTGATGGGCATGAACTGGGTGGCCAGCCACTGCCCCCAAGCGCGCTACATCATGAAGACGGACAGTGACATGTTTGTCAACACGGAGTATCTCATTCAGAAGCTGCTGAAACCAGAGCTCCCGCCCAGACAGAGCTACTTCACTGGCTATCTGATGAGGGGCTACGCGCCCAATCGCAACAAGGACAGCAAGTGGTACATGCCTCCTGAGCTGTACCCTAGCGAGAGGTACCCCATCTTCTGCTCGGGGACGGGGTACGTGTTCTCCGGGGACATGGCGGAGAGGATCTACCAGGCATCTCTGAGCATACGGAGGCTGCACCTGGAGGACGTTTACGTTGGCATCTGCCTGGCCAAGCTCCGCATTGACCCCACACCACCGCCCAACGAGTTCCTCTTCAACCACTGGAGGGTGTCTTACTCCAGCTGTAAGTACAGCCACCTCATCACCTCCCACCAGTTCCAGCCCAACGAACTGGTCAAATACTGGAACCACCTGCAGAGCAACAAGCACAATGCCTGCATCAACATGGCCAAGGAGAAGAATGGGAAGTATAGACACAGGAAGTACCACGCAGAGAGACCTCAGTGATGATGCCTCTACTTCATGTGGAAGGGGTCTGGACAGGAAGAGGACAATGAAAGGAAGTGGACTAGAGGAAGGGCTGGGTCTTGAAAGGGCATGTAAAGAGAGCTCAGCACTATACACTATCTGGGAAAGAGCACTGTGTTTTTGGTATTGCGTACGGTTGATTAAAGCTATTTTTTTTATTTGAGAGAGATGTTATGTATTGTAAACCTGTTGAAAACTATTTTTAAAAAGGGCAGTGAAGTGGTCAGTGGTTGATGGGGTTTTGTTATGCAACAGGAAGTTCACTTTAACTGTTGGGCCAATTCTATCAAAGACCTTTAAACTATTAATAATAATAATATAAAGAGTATTTACATGGGACGGGATAGAGATAAATCTATCACATTAATAATACCTACTACCACTACCTACAAAAAAATAATGAATATATTTATGATGTGGACATGTAATGCTGCCCTTTTTTCAATGATCATAAAATACAAATTAAAAGGGTTTACCTGTCAATATGCCATATATTTGTATTTACAACCAAGGTGAAAGGACTCAGAATCATCACAACTGTCAGAAATGACTGAGATTGTATTTTCTAAAGCTTTACATTAGTAAATATGAGGAGTCTGCGCTTCAGTAAATGTGCAATGAATTAAATAACAATTAAATGTATTGAATTCTTGAGGTTTCTTTTTCTTTTTGTTGTTTGTAATGTTGGGTAACTCTAACACCTTAGTTAAGGCTGCCTCTTCCATTCACCAATATACGACAACTCTTTATTTTACCATTCCGTAGTCACCATCCATTTAACACAGGGATATGTGAAAACATACTCACTGATGAGAGAGAAATAAATAAGTATCATACTGTATTCTCTCATTCTCTCACCGACAGGGATATGTGAAAACATACTCACTGATGAGAGAGAAATAAATAAGTATCATACTGTATTCTCTCATTCTCTCACCCCGAGGGAAGGATGAAAAAGTCCAAGTCAATTTGGATTTTATTAGAACTGAAGACTCATAACTTTTGAAGGATTGTTTAGTGTTTACTCCAGATGGGCCAGGACTGAGAGATGTTCTGTACGGTGTAATAGTCACGATCGTCGGGAACAGAGGACCAACGCGCAGCGTTGAATGCAAACATATTTACTTAGTCTGAACGATAACACGAACAAAACAACAAAACGATAACGTGACGTCCTTAGCTCAAACACAACCTACTAGGAACACGAACAAGATCCAAAACTGAGGAATAACAAGGACTGTAATATGGTTCCCAATCAGAGACAGACCAGCAACAGCTGACACTCGTGCCTCTGTTGGACATCTGGCCAACATAGATAATTTAGGAGCTAGAATGGAAAACAAAGTCACAAACATGACTTACACGCCTGATAACATAAAAGTCCCTTGAGAGCCGGCATGCATATATTAGGTTGTATTAGAGGCTACACATCCAAGCTCAGGGTCGCTGATTAAAAGCACACATAACGGTGAATTTGATGTTAACTGTGATTGAAACCCAATATACGAACACAAATTATTAAATTAATGCATAGCGAGCTGGAGCGGTTTTTGAAAATACCAGACTCATGGATCTGTCGTCTGTTTTAATAGGTCATTACATTGAGTAATTTTGTTTTTGGAGCTAAGTAAAGGTCAAGTTCAAACAGACATAACGTATAACAGTACATTGAGTTGAAACCCCTTGTTACTTGATCCTAAGCTACCTGATAAAATACAATCAATCAGGCAATTTTTACTGATTGAAACAAAAAACACACATTTTGATAATAATTTGTACTAATAGTGTTGTGGAAAATAACCACTATACTTTATTACAAATAAGGTCTTACAGAGTTTTTGTTACATCAAGAAATGACTTTATTAAAGTTTTCAACAAAGCCGATACCAGTCTGCAGAGTGGCACCCCGTTCTGTTTTCCTCACGTCACATTATATACCATCATCCCCCACTCTTCTAGCTCTAAATCCCTCCCTCTTCAGTTTCCCGTTCTTTATCACTCCACACCCACTTCCTTTGTCCCTGAGGACGGCTGAACTATTACTCCAACCAATCACTCGCTCCCCTGTCTTGCACACACACTCATGTTTAGTTTAAACATGACAAAGCCCTAAATTACACAAACCTCACCCCCTCATGCTGTAATCAATCAATAACATACCAAGGAGACAAAGGTCTAGCCCAAACCCTGGTGCCGCTCCCTTCACTGTGTTTGAAGAGAGAGACAAAAGCCACAAGCTAGTTCCAGTCTCTCATCAGATAAGACAGCCATGGATTTAAGTAAGAGCAAGCAATTTGACCATAGGGCAGATTTCCTCTCTACTCCCCCACACAGTGAAATTAAATGACCCAATACAATTCCTGGCCCAGTAACAAACAATTCTAACTTTATGCTCTTGATTAACCCAGTTCTACCTCATAGACCATTAAACTCTACAGTTCATTAATAATAATTCACCACAATAGTACCAGACTTCTGATCACCTGATATACTGTTGTAAACAAAGTACACTATGGCACCAGAAAGACATCTGACAGACCATGATATAAAACATATTTCCCTGACGGATGCCTGTGATCTGCAGACTGCCTGAGCACCAATTAAAAGCAGCCGTCCTTTAAGCCGGCACAAGAGACAGGAAAGACCAACCTCGTCTGAGAAAGAATGTAATTCCAGCGCGGTGCAATTCATTAAACACTCAACTGGCCTAGAGTATTCATCAGCCTCAATTAATAAGAATGAACGTCATGGCTCAAAGCAAGAGGATATTGGGACCCAGGTCTGCTTCCATTCATCCATGGCCTAGGCAATCACACAGCCCAAATTACCAGCATCCGGTGCCTCCGAAAAAACAGATGAGAGGCGGGGGGGGGGAGAAAGGGGAGGGGAGAGAGGGAGAGAGAGGGGGAGAGAGAAGAGGAGGAACGTGTGAGGGCGAGAGGGGGGAGGGGGAGGACGAAGGAGGAGAGGAGGGGCAGAGAGGGAGAAGAGGGGAGAGAGGAGAGAGGGAAGGAGGGAGGAGAGAGAGGAGGAGAAGGAGGAGAGGAGGGAGGGAGAGAGGAGGAGGGAGGGGGGAGAGCAGGAGAGAGGAGAGGGTACGGGAGAGGAGGAGCTAGAGCGACGGAGGAGGTAGGAGGAGGAACCGGGAGGGGAGGAGGGAGCGAGGGGAGAGAGGGAGGAGGGGGGAGGGAAGGAGGGAGAGAGCGAGCCCGGATGAGAGGAGGAGGTGGGAGAGAGAGTAGGAGAGGAGGGAGGAGAGGGAGGAGAGCGGAGAGGGAGGGCGATGTCGGAGAGGAGGGAGGAGAGGAGAGGAGGAGGGAAGGGAGGGAGGAGTGAGGAGACGAGGAGAGAGGATGAGGAGGGAGGGCGGAGAGGAGGAGTGGCCGGAGAGGGAGAGGAGGAGAGGAGGGGGGAAAGACGGAGGAGAGAGGAGAGGAGGAGGAGAGTGGGAGGGGAGGGGGAGGAGGAGAGAGGACGGCAGAGGAGGGAAGAGGGAGAGGAGAGGAAAGGAGGAGGAGAGGAGGGGGGGAAAGGGGAGAGGAGGAGGGAGAGAGGGAGGGGAGGGAGAGAGAGGAGGAGAGGAGGCGAGAGGGAGGAGAGGAGGAGAGGGAAGGGAGGAGGAGGAGGAGGAGGAGGAGAGAGGGAGAGGAGGAGGAAGAGAGAGGAGGAGAGGAGGGATGGGGAGAGGGAGAGGAGGGAGAGAGAAGAAGAGAAGGAAGAAGAGAGGAGTTGAGGAGGGAGGGGGGGAGAGGGGAAGAGGAAGAGGGAGGGGGAGGGAGAGGAGGAGGGAGAGAGGAGGAGGGAGAGAGGACAGAAGGGGTTGGGGGAGAGGAGGAGGGAGAGAGGGCAAAAGGGGTTGGGGGAGAGAAGGAGGGGGGGAGGGGGAGAGGAGGAGGGAGAGAGGGGGAAAGAGAAAAATAGAAGGAAGGATCTAGTGATGAATGAACAGGAAAAGGGCAGTGACTGATCAGTATTGAAAACCTGTGCTGCTGTAAACGTGGTAAAAGTGAACCGGGGAAACGGTTTGAGATGTCAGCCATGATGAAGTGGGGGCTAGGCCTCAGCCTGTACTCTACCAGTGCAGCTCAGCACTACCACAGAAACCAGAGAAGTAAAATACACTTGAGGAGGAGACAGATATCCTGACCTTAACCTGGCTGAGCTGTAGTAGACCTCCTGAGTAATGCCTCTCCCTGATAGGCCTAAATGTACTAAGATGAATTCTAACTGAAGCCTGGGCATGGTATGTTCTCTATTGATGAAAATCCAGTAAATGGCATTCATTACAAGAACATGTTTGAAATGAGAAGGTTGGAATTCCGCTTTTTTAACACCAGTTTCATTCTTTTTTAGAAGCTCATGACATTATAACGGGACATTTCTCCCATCACGCAAATTTAATTTAATACATCTTTATGTAACATGTATATCACATCTTTAAACAGCAACATGTTGTTGTTGTTGTTGTTTTTGTTTTTAATGATATAGAAGACAGCAATGGTCTATTAATAAATAGTCAGTGCCGAGTACCCTAAATATCATTTTTTCTAGTTGTCAATTTCCTGAGCTTGTTTATCATCAGACACAGAGCTGAATGACGTCTTCTAACAGATGGTAGATTCCAACCCAGCCTCAAATACTCAACGATGGGGAGTGGAGAGCATTTATAAAATCTATTTATAAACCTAATTTGAGGGTGGTAAAAATCCTGAATGGCCCATACAGGACAGGAGGAGCGGCTGGACATCCACCTGCCAGCTCTCAGATAAACACATCTTACCACCCTATCAAACCCTCTTCTCTTCAGCCATGTAGGGGCAAACTGAGGGCGGTTGTTCAGTCACAAGATAAGTCAAGGGTGAGTTGATGTCAGCCATTTTGTGGAAAACAAAACCAATCCAAGAGCTGTAGGTATCGTATCATATTGTATTTGTATGATATAAAATCTAATATTGCTATAACACTGGTACACATTGGTA